TAACCGGTTAACCTATATGGTTAATCGGTTAACACTGCTAATTTTCAGAAAAATGCTTTTTAAAATTAATGTTATACCATTTTTAAGGTTTCAAAAACATGCTTATGTATTGTGCACAAATGATTGATGTTTTTGAACACTTGTATATCAAATTATAAAGGTGGATTTGATATACCAGTAATGCAGCCAAGTCTGGAAGAATCAGTTCCATATGTAGCTTGACTTGAAAGATAGCTTGATGACTTTATCTTGATGACTTTGAACGGCTTGTCTTTTTGCAATCAAGAGATGACTTTGAGTAGTATTGACATCATCAAAACTTGAGACTGAAGCATGCTTCTACATTATCAACAACAACATCATAGTAGTCAGGTTGCGATAAGGTATGTTGAATATAAATATCAACATTTTGGTGCACCCTATAAAGATCTGCAATTTCTAAAGCACCATTGTCATCAACAAGTGCATTTATCCCAAATTCAGGGTCCTTGTAATATATTGTTTCAAACTCTCTATAACCTAAGTCTTTCAATACACCAATTAGCTCAAAATAACTCCATTTGTCTACACCTATTCTCATATCATCTACTACTCCATTCTCATATACACTACGACCTTCATTAGTGAACTCACCACTATGATGAATTTTGAGATTTATGTATTCATCCATGATACCTAATCATATTATCTAAATAATTAGAGTTTACACTAAAAAATTTACATAAACCCTAAATCTGAATATAACCAGATATTGGCCTATGAGATTCGTAAACACTCCATGAATCCTCTTCAATCCTTCGCGTATGGAACAATGCTTTGCACCCTCAATGCATTGCTTCAATCCCTAACATGATTCCAATCCTTTGATCTTTTGGGTAATGGAAAGTCAGTTTAACATGGATTTGTTTTAACACATCTTATATCCACGTCAACAACATAAAGTCCACCTGGACAAACGTGACAACTGTTTTCAAACTTTGACTAACGACAATAGACGGAAGGATAAACGTGACACCATTTTAAAAGTTAGAGGACTAACTTGCCACTTTTTAAAGTTAAGGGGGCAAACTAGACCCCGAGCTAAAGTTAAGGGACAAAAAATGTTATTTTGCCATAGTAATAATATAATAATATCATTACCCTTATTATTAGGAATAAGTATTTCCATATAATAATAATAACATTTATATTATTATTATTACAACATTATCTTAGCCTTTAATTCCGATTAAGTCATTCTACTAAGCTCTCACACCCACATTTACACACATATCCTCAACCAAGACAATGTCAAGAATAATCACACAAAATAAATCATAAACAACTACATAATTAAATGGGGTGTTACAGATGATATCAAATACATTAAAGATTATAGACCAATTTCTGTTTGTACCACTGCCTACATGCTCATATCAAAAGTTTTGACAGCTCGACTAGGCATTATTCTTGGTAGCATTATTAGGAAATGTCAAGTTGCTTTTGTCCCTGAGCAACATATCCATAACTATATGCTCCTAGCCTATGAGTTGATTAAAGGGTATGCTAGGAAGGGGGGACCCCTAGATGTATGCTCCAACTTGACATACAGAAAAGGCTTATAATATGGTTGATTGGAGAACTTCATAGTGCATTATGGATGAGATTGTCGTGCCACATCAATTCATTAGATGGATAATGCTTATTGTGACCATTATCTCATACAGATTTAACATTAATGGATAATACAAAAAAATTATGCAAGCTAAGAGAGGAGTTAGGCAAGGGGATCCTTTGTCTCCTTTCATTTTTGTCATTATTATGGAATAATTGAATAGAGCCTTTCATAATATGCAAAAAATACATGACTCTAACCACCGTGTTAAGTGTGAAAAACTGTATATCACAAATCTGACTTTTGCAGATTATTTGCTATTCTTCTCAAGAGGTGGTCAAATATATGTTGAGTTAATGATGAATGCTTTTAAGAACTTCTCCATGTCTACTAGTCTGAGGGTTAAGCCTAGAAAATGCATAATCTATTTTGGTGGAGTTGATGATAACACCAAGGAAAGCATTATTTGATTAACTTCTTACATGGAATGACCTCTTTCATTTAAGTATTTGGGTGTCCCACTGACTTGTAAGAAGCTTTTAATACATCACTACATGATGCTTGTTGACAAGATTGTTGGTAGGATTCAACATTAGAACATTAAGCTCTTGAGTTATGCTGGAAGAGTCCAACTAATCAAGAGTATCTCTTTTGCCTTTGCTAATTACTAGATGCAATGTTTACCTTTGCCTAAGATTGTGATTAAGAAAATTGATGTCATTTGTAGGTCTTTCATGTGGATAGGTGGAGCTGATATTAGTCGAAAGAACTCAATTGCTTAGAAGAATATATGCAAGCCTAGGAAACAAGGAGGTCTTAACATTATACAAAACTGCTATGGTGAAGCTGCTTTGAAATCTAAGTGGTAAGTTGGATAACTTATGGGTAAAATGGGTGCATACATATTATTTCAAAAACAATAGCATGATGGAGGGGAGGATTATGCCTAATTGTACTTGGATAATGAAGGCGATCAGACAGCAAAGGGATAACATTTCACAAGTGCAGAATTTGTGGAATCAAATACTTAGTAAGAGTAAATTCCACATGAAGACAATGTATGAAAATTTGAGAGATTATGAGCAAGATGTGACTTGGCGGACATTGTTTTATGAAAATGTTGTTCGACCTAGAGCTATGATGACTTTTGTGGCTTGCTTGGCATGGGAAGCTAGCCACCAAGGAGAGACTTCATAAGTTTAGAATGGTGGACAATACCAAGTGTTTTTTGTGACATGAAGAGACTATGAATCATCTCTTTTTTAGTTGTGTTGAGTTGAAAAGAATTTGGTGCAAAACTATTGATTGGATCCAAATCATACACGAGCCCAAGGATTGGAATGAAGAAATGCATTGGATTGTGAAGCATAGTATAGAAAAAGGATATGGGACAACTATATTAAAGTTGGTTGTCGCTAAACTATCTATGGTATGCTTGGGTAATAACACGAATTCTACCAAAATAGGGGAGAATATTATAGACATAATAGTGTTTGGTATAGTGAGAAAATTAGAAAAGACATCGCTAATTTGATGATGTATTAGCTTTTTATTTGGTTGTTAGTCTTGTTGTCGATTGGTTCCAAACGATCGCTTTGTATTTTGTTGATTTTTTGAATACATATAATTTTATTTATTTATATGAAGAAAAAATGGTATGCATTGATTCCGGAAGCCAAACAATGTTGACAAATGACGGCAGAGAATGTAAACAAATAGTTTAAACTATTTATTTACATTTTCAGTTTCAAGTCCTAAAATCAATAGAAAAATATAATATTTATAGGTAAAATTTGGTGTGAGTTAAGAGTCATATAGTTACTCATGGTGTGAGTTAAGAGTCATATAGTTACTCATAATCAATGCATTAAAAATTGGAAAGTGGAATATACAAAAGTATATTTTCGATTTTTTTTTATAAAAGGAGAGTGGAATATACAGCAGTAACAATTGACCCCAAACTCCATATAACTATACTTAATCCAATTCAAAAAGCCATAATTCAGAAAGAAAGGAAATAGCATAACACTAACCAAGTTCTTTTTCTACATATCATTACAATGCCATTCAAGTTTAGCCCATGGTTCAAAAAGTTAGAGAATAATTAAACCTATAAATTAAAGTGGGTACAAACACTACAAAACAAAAGGGGCCACAAAATGTAACCTGAAAACAAAAATTAACAGTTAGTTCAAGAAGAAAAATATTATTATTACTTACTTGCATTACCAGTGATGTTACTTGAGCAAAGCCTAGTGTCGAGGGTGAGGCATAAATTGGTATTATTCTCCAGCTCAGCCAGGTGATTATGCATGAAAAGGATACCACATTTTCTCTGGGAGAAACAATTGAAACATTCTAAGAAACTTGAGAAATACCCATCAATCTGCATAAAAGTGCTCCGTAGACATAGCAGGTTGCAGAAAATAGCAGAACTTTTGCTTCAAGGGAAGATACACCAATTTATTTAGATAGGGTAGCTTTAGGGAAAAAAATGTAAGCATAGGCAGATCCAGTCTATTTTCTTGTAATCTTATTACTACACAGAATCTCTTTTATTTTCAGCGCAAACTATGCAAAAATGACAATTACATTGCATTATGCTCCTCTATTTCCCCTTAGTACTAATAACAACCCATTTAGTGTAGTGCATAGTGGCTGAAACTTATGACATGCTAACTAGTTAGAATTTGGCACATAAGCTAGAAAGGAACACAATATAAGAATTTGGCTGAAACATATGACATGCTAACTAGTTAGAATTTGGCACATAAGCTAGAAAGGAACACAATATAAGAATTGTGTTCTGCATTTTGAATCATGGTTTTAAACTGCTTTCCACAAGAACTGCGACAGTAATTGTGACTACAAGTCTACAACCTATGCTTTTCAAGATCTTAACAACTACATCAAATCCACCTATATCTGACTACAATATTCTACATATCAAATATCATAACATAACCACCACAACAGTAATTAAAAACCTTATTTATATAATAATAACAAGATGTGCATAAGGTACTCCAGGGTGTTACAATTTGATTACATGTTTTAGCTGAACCAAAATAAAAAGCATAACACAAACAGGCTTTTCCTTTCTGTTTTATAGGTAAACCGAATGCTAAATTAAGCCGATAAATAAGAGACTCGTCTGTCATCATTCATTAACTATCAAAATATGGAATACACATAAATGCTCATCACCAATTCCCCAACACTACCACTAATTACTACCACAATAACTAATAACCAACATTAACATATCAACATGACCAAAACCATAAACACATTCAACATAGGAACAATTTAGACATAAGACACTGGCTCGTTGAGTAATGCAATGCAACAATGCATAATACCAAACGCACCTTCAATGTGAAGTGTCAATGCTACATAGTCATGATCAATCATCATCATCATGATCACTCTCATCACTAAAATACCCAACTTTCTTCCCTTTCTTCTTCGTCTTCTTGTTGTCTAAACCCTCATCATCATTTCCATTTCTCCCCAGCAACCTCTCCCCAGCTTCATCATCCACAACAGAAGCCCAATTATCCTCAAACTGCTCCGCAGCAATCTGACCGCCCTCTTCCTCCTCCTCAGCACCCTCCTCCTCCCTATCCCTCACCCCACCAAATCCCCGCCGCAGCTTCTTAGGCTGAGGCCGCGGCCTCGGCCCCAACTGATTCTTAGGACACTCATACGACAGATGACCACGCCCCCCACACTCATAACACAAAGCAGTCTCAGTATTGTACACACGCTTCCGAATAAACTCCGGAGCACGTCCATTATCAGCAGCAATAGAAGCAGTCAGAGTCCGTCCATTGAGAATCTTCTTATTCATCTCCGTCGCAGCGCGTTGAGCGTCGTGACGAGAAACGAATTGGACAAACGCGACTCCACGGCTTAGGCGCGTGTGCCGGTCTTTGAGAACGGTTACGCGCGCGATGCGACCAAAAGTGGAGAAGAGAGTGTGGAGATCGGAGTTTGTTAGGGAGTAATCTAGATTTGAAACGTATAGCGTTGATTTTGATGGTGCTAAGGGTTCCCCGGTTCCTCCTATTGATGACCCTTTGTTGTTCGGTTTTGATTGTGGTTGGTTACTGGATGCAGTGGTGGTGGTGGTGTTAGGAGTTGATGATGAAGCGCAGTAGCGGTAGTAGAAAACGTCGTCGTCGTCGTCACTGTCGCTGAGTTTCCTTTTGTGTTTCTTCTTGCTTGACATTTTTTTTCTTCTTGTTTTTTTGAATCCGGCAACGGCGTTGGGTTTCCGGCGACGGAATTAGTTCACCGATGGTTATTTAATCTACAGAGAGGAAATCTGAGAGTTGAGAGGTTCTAGAATACGTTGGGAAACCCTAGAGAAGTGAAGCGAAAATGGTGATGTATCACTGCCAAACTCCAACCGGATCTGGACATGGATCCGGATATTTTGAATTAGTTTCATATAAGGTTTTATCCATTCTTATTTTTTCATAAACAGTATTATCCATATGTAAATGGATAATTAAAATGGATAATAACCATTCTTATTTTTTCATAAGCAGTATTATCCATATGTAAATGGATAATTAAAATGGATAATTTGTTCACCGCCAGAGAACTTATAAAGATAGCATAGAATTAAAAATTAGGGTTAGATATATGGTTGGTCCTCATAAATATTGCAGTTTTTTATTTTAGTCCTTTTAAATATTTTTTTAAAAGAATGATTCCTCAAAAGTGTTTTGTTTATATAATTGGTTCTTAACATTAAATGAGACTAAGAGAGCTGATGTGGCACGCCACGTGGCTTTGCCAGCATGATTAAATACTGGCGTGTCATACCACATGGCTAAGGTCAACATCATATTTGAACCCATAAAATTTCATAGTTAATCGGTAGTTAATTTGTAGCTAATTTATTGCAGAAAAACATAAATTAAGAAACAACAAACTATGTTGTCCTTGTCCCTCTCCTCTTCTGTCACCACCACAATTGTCATTTTCTTCTTCATCTTCTATTTTCACAAGACAGCTTTGTTACCTTCTTATGTATCACTCTCTAGCTGCAACAACACCCCCTCAACTGTGGAACATTTCTGAATCAACAACAACACCTAATACGTGTTAGTATTTATTAATTATATATTTCATGACTGAGTCGGAGACAAGTAACTCATTAGCTGAACTATATCATTGTGACATTATATCTTCAATTTGTATTAACAGCTGCCTGATTTTATTGCAAACATGCAGGTACTTGCGGGTATGACATGAAAAAGGTACACAAGCATTTTACGCTTCCACTGATGATGTTTCTTACTTTATTTTCCTCTTATTCGGTGCTCATAAAACAACCTATTTGTGGGTAAAGTTTACATGAAACGCATAATATGTTGTGAAATGTATATTTATATGTTACTTTTGTTGGGTATCATAGTAGTAAGATAAATATCACAAAAATAAGAGATTAAGGAGTAGGAAAAGTGACACAGAATATTTAAGTGGAAAATCCGCAACATATGAGGGAAAAACCACAAGCACCGATAGAAAAGATTTTCAAAGAAATTACAACATTTCTCTATATATACAAGAAGAGAACAAATTACACTCTCTCTTGTAATAGAAGAGCACTCACTAAAAGAACCTTATATGAGAAAATACAATATATTCTATCTCTCTAAATTTTTCTTTTATGTTATCTTGCAATGCTTTGTGTTGTTGTGTTAGGAATGAGAAATGCACCTCTATTTATAGGTGCTCATCTTCACAAAACCATGGGAGTTGCTACAAAGCCATGGGTGTTTCTTTCTTGGTCCATAAATTGTGACTTTATTCAACCACAATCCTTAACCATAATCTTTTACCATGACCAAAATATTTGACTATGACCACAATCTTTAGCAATCTCCCACTTAAAGTCACATTTGTGATCTTCCAAAATCTTCTCTACCTTGCTAACTCCATGCTGATTACGTCTCTAATAGGCCATATGAAGACCTACACCATGCAAACTTATCAGAGTTAATCGGTTTCGTCATTACATCTGCTAGGTTATCTTTAGTGTGAATTTTCTGCATATCCACACTTCCTTCTTCTACCATCTCTCTGACAAAATGGTATTGAACTCCTATGCGTTTTGTCCTGGAATGAAAAGTTGGATTCCTTGCAATGTGCAAGGCACTCTGACTGTCACAGTACACAATAATTTTTTGTTGCTTGTGCATGAGTTCTTCCAATAACTTGAATCCAAATTGCTTCCTTACATGCTTGGGTAGCGACCATGTATTCAGCTTCTGTAGTAGACAAAGCTACAACAGTCTGCAATTTGGATAACTAGCTTACCGCTCCTCCTGCAAGTGTGAACACATAGCCAGTAGTAGATTTTCTTTTATCAAGGTAGCCTGCAAAATCTGAATCAACATAGTCTCTGATAGTGAGTTTTGATCTCCCAAAATATAATGCAGCACCTGAAGTTCCTTTGATGTATCTAAGGATCCTCTTAACAATATTCCAGTGTTCATTACCTGGATCTACCGTAAACCGACTAACCATTCCAATTGCTTAAGCAATATATGGTCTAGTACATATCATAGCATACATAAGGCTTCTTACCGCTGATGCGTACGGTACTCGAGACATTTCCATCATTTCCGCTTCATTGTTAGGATTCATACTTGAGGATAATTTATAATTGACATGAAGTGGGGTAGAGATTGGCTTACAGTCTTGCATGTTAAAGCAACGCAAGACTTTCTGAAGATAATTTTTCTGAGAAAGCCAAATCCTTCTGTCTTTTCTGTCTCGGTGAATTTGCATCCCTAAAATCTTGTTTGCTGGTCCCAAGTGTTGCACCCTAATTTTTGACCTTAAGATCCCACCTCCTCGCGTTTTTGTGTTTCTCGTTGTTTTACTTTGTATGTACGTGTGTTATGACTAACAAGGGTGCGTAGGTACATTGACTTCAGGTATAAGCGACGTTATTTATCGAGGTCATGCATCACAGGATCAATTCAAGGAAGGCTTTATTCTTATCCAGGAGGATTGAACCATTATCATTTTGGTTCTCTTAGCTTTTAAGGGAGGAAGTTATTTTATTACTGGCAGCTTGTAGGCAACATGAGATTTTGGGCATCTTGAATCTTGGATTGAAGTAAATTTTGATCTGATGCATTGTTGTACAATTCCAAGTTTGACGTGTTCATTCAGGTTACAACACTAGCCCACTCTCAAATTCAACACTGCAAGGCTCCACCATTTTCAAGTTTATACATTGTAGCACAAGGTTGGTTCAACCCGAGGCCCCACGTCTTGGATTTACGGAATGCATTTGATATGATAGTGACTGAATCCAAGATTTTACAAGTTCATGATACAAGGATTCATTATACAAAACAAGTTTGTTACTGATTAAAGGGGGTACATAAATCAAGCATATAATTTACGGGGGATTATAACTTAGTCTATGAGTTAGGTTTCTTCTAAACACAAGATGCCGTGCATAGAAGTCAAAGCATCCAACCGAGTGACTCACGAGACTTTACATCGCTGCTACTGTGAGAACAAAATGTTCCCATATATTTTAAATTAATACAAATCATTACAAAGCATTGCAAACAAGACATGGTGCTAAAATACTAGAAATTGTTACAACTTGACTGCAACCATTTTGGACCTCTATGCCAGGACAAGTACAGCTTCTTGATCGAAACGACACCTCGGTATAAAAGTTGTTATGATTCAACCAGATCTGAGTTGTTTTCACTCCTTCGACTTGTTCGTAGCATCCACCTTTTCGTAAAATAAAGCAGTAACGGTACTTTGTCTTTGACGACCTACAAATGAGAAAGACAATTATCAATATTCGGGACGGAACCGAAGCTCCAATCAAAGGATTGATCATGATTCTTCTCGCTCTACCGGAAGGACCGATGAAGATGTCATCTAGCCAAAGCAAAGCGGTTAATACTTATACAAATCCTCAGCTTTCACACCTGCAAGGCACATGGTTTGGTGAGAATTTTCACAACAGCAAGTCATAACTCTGGATCCATCAAATCCTTAAATTAATCACGCCAGCAGGTTCAAGCGGAACTTCTTGAATTTTACGGTATCAGGATTTGTGGACAACTTTATTCTAAGCATTATTTTAACGTAAAGAAAGTCAAGATCATCACCTCTCAATCACGTGAAGGAAACCATTTGTCGTTCAAATGTACACTTATTGTTCCCAACCTACATCAAGCCATCGGTTTAGCAATATAGCTATTATTTCCTTCATTTCCGATAAGATTTAAATTAACATATACGGAAACCATGTTGTCCTCCTTCATACTCAACAAGAGCAACAACCTGCAAGGATCATCGTCAGAAGGCAATCTTTTTTTCTATTCGAGTACGGAATTGAAGCGTGTGTCTGAACCAAAGCGGTAATGCACATACCTTCAACTGGCAGATGAACAGAAGTAGAACCTGTCATTGGGATCCGAAATATTCCATCAACAGTAGACCCTGCCCAATCCTCTAACCAATTCGAAGGATGATCTAGTTTCTCGTTCACCCGCTATTACTAAAGAGAAATCCCTTCATTTTCAAATTCAATTCATTGTAGTGAATCAGTAAGCTAGACGTGAACATAACTATAAGAGTAGGCTCGGCAGAACACTCACAGGAACCGTACTTGGCCAAGACCAATTGGAAACTCCCCAGATCCGCCACCAAATGTTATACCTCATCATCGCATTCCTTGTGGTTTGACTCACAAAGAGAAGATCAAATGAGGAAAGGCATCAAAGCAACACTTGATGATTATGCTACAAATTGGTCTAATGATAAATCACATATGCAACTCGCCCGGAGCACCTGCATAGAGCAATAGTAATCACGAACTATTGAAAACAGTTTCAGATTTATTTGGTTCATGAGCTTTTCCTTGTGTATGAAAATAAGAACATCATTCAAATTACCTTGTCCAGAAACGGAGCCCTCGTCTTCGCATCTTCGGAAGTGTTAGTCTTCCACTCGCAATGTTCACATCAACGAAGAATATCAATTCCTATGTTAATTGGTTGACGTGCTCGTACCTACACGTTATCAAAAGACAGTATTGGCAAGTTCAGTGAAATACAATTTCGGCACACCACTGCTGCAGGCACAAAACGAACAATTTATCAGTACCACTTCAAATTAATTTCCACAATCCCAAAGGAAATGAAGCTATGAGGCAAGGGAGTGACTTGCTAT